TTTTTTTACACACAGCATAATGACTTTGATGTTTATGCAAATACTTGCCTATGTCGATTTCTTTCAATTGCTAAGTAGTACTCCATTGTAGGATGTTCCACAGTTTGTCCCCTCACCTATTAAAGGACACTGGGGGGTGTTTTAAAAATTTATATTTAACACCCCGTGTTCTACAGAATTTTCAGCTCTTTTAAATTCTCACCTGATCATCTGGAGGGACAGGGCAAGGCTCAGAAGCAGTAGAAAAGAAATCGTAGTTCCTAGCTTCCTGGCCAGGGAAGATGGTACTCTATACATTGGTCATACTCATGGTGTCCTACCCTCATTTAAACTCATTGTGGGGGCTTGAGTTAATTTGAGAGTCCTTAGTTCTCTGAAGAGCTTGACAAGGAGACAGAGTTCGGTTCCCGAGTTAGTCTGCACGCAGATGTGTACTTCCCTCCTGACACGGATGAGCTTTTGCCAAAATAGATTCCCTTCTGAGAAAGTGTGAAATTACCTTCTCCTGCCATAGCTCCTCTGTCCTCATAAACATGATCTTTAGCTACATTCTGAGTCGTCTGTACTCACCCCCAGGGTGAAGCAGTCCCACCTGTGCACGCCTATGCAGGAATTGGGGTATGTGGCCTGTGACTGGATGTCGTGCGTCTCTTTCATGTAGATGATGTATTAGCCAGGGGCTTGGCAGAAGAGGCACATTCAGTTGGAGTCCTTGAGGGTTTCATACAGGCACCATTTACAGCTGTGTGGTCGGGTTTGAAGGAAATTCACAAGCAATGGTGCGTTATCCCCGAGTGGTTAATGTCCCCCAGCCTGAAGAGGTAAGGAAGGGGACGTAGCAGTCTGGAGAATCGGGGAGAGCGTCTGTGTCGTGCATAGTGCTGCCTCAGGGGAGCCAGGGGCTGCAGAAGAGGGTTGCAGGCCACTTGTAACTGTCCTGCGGGAGGGTGTCTGAGGACACATGCCCTGACCTCACTCTGCTTCCAACCTCTGATCTTTGGCGAGTATCTCCCATTGGAGAAAGCCAACTAAAAGCCGGAGGACAAGGGAGCCCTGCGGATGTAGTCGATAAATGTTGTCTCCCAACGCACAGAGCAAGGTTGAGAGGGCAGAGGGCCGGTCTGGAGGGGTAAATGGAAAACATCCCACACAGGCGTTCTCTGGGCTTTCAGTGGAGAAGGGTGGTCACCTCTAGGAAGGTTCTATGTAGGAGTAACGGAACTGGGCGCATAATAGATGCTCTAGTGAGCACCTTCAATTTAATCCCAGTCATTTAAAGAGGACTCTGAGATCTATTAAGAATGAAATTCCTGTTTAGTTAGGTGGACCCTTCTTTTTTGTTCCTACGAGAGGCACAGGCAGTGGTTTTCCATTTTGTTTTCCATGCCTACCATTTGTTTAGCTTAGATGTGTTCGTTGTTTTTGTTTCTGCATTGGGCAACCTCTAGTGGCCCTTAGGGAAATAACACTTGAGTACAAACCCGTTTTGTAGGCAAGCAGCGGTGAAAATGGAGAGAAATGGATGATGGAGCCAGGATATATTTCTGCAGGTAGATGTGCAAGGGCTTGCTCGTGGATTTACGTATACCAAGTGTGAGAAAGAGAGGAATTGAGAATGATGAAGGTTTTAAGCTTGAGTAACTGGGTGCCATGTTATAATTTGGGAAGACTAAGCAAAGGATGAGAATCAAGAGTTCCCTTTCACTGTGTGAAGTTTGGTCTGAAATACGGCTGTGTGTGTGGGTGTGCAAGTATGAATGAAAATAACTATATATGAGTTAAGAGTGAATGATGCTCTCCTAACATACTATGTTTACTTTTGATCTTTCACCTCTTTCAGCTTTGGAGGAATTTTTTACATCTCTTGTGAAGCAAGAAATGGTGAATATGCCCCGTGGAGTATATCACTCTGCATTAAAAGGAGGTGTTCGCTCAGACCAAGGAAAGACCGTAGCAGGAATCCCCAATTTTATATTGAAAATGTATGAAACAAACAAGCAACCGGGTTTGAAACCTGGCCTTGCAGGTGAGTGCACTACATAATATCAAGGTAGAGGGTTTGGTTTTAATTAGGAAGCGTTCTTAATTGTATTTTAATCAATTAATTAATTCTTAATTTAGTTTTTAAAATTTAAATCCAAGTTAGTTAACATAAAGTGTTATGATAGGTTCAGGAGTAGAATCTAGTGATTCACCACTTACATATAACACCCAGTGCTCATCCCGACAAGTGTCCCCTTTAGTGCCCATCACCCATTTAGCCCATCCCCCCACCCAGCACCGCTCCAGCAACCCTCCGTTTGTTCCCTGTATTTAAGAGTCACTTATGGTTTGCCTCCCTCTCTGTATTTTTCTTATTTTTTCTTCCCTTCCCTGTGTTCATCTGTTTTGTTTCTTAAATACCACATATGAGTGAAATCATAAGGTATTTGTCTCTCTGGCTGACTTATTTTGCTTAGTATAATACAGTCTAGTTCCATCCACTTTTGTTGCAAATGACAAGGTCTCATTCTTTTGATTGCCACGTCATATCCCATTGTACATATACACCACACCTTCTTTATCCATTCATCAGTCAATGGACTTTTAGGCTCTTTCCATGATTTGGCCATTGTTGATAATGCTGCTGTAAACATTGGGGTGCCTGTGCCCCTTTGAATCAGCACTTTTGTATCCTTTGTATAAATACTCAGCAGTACAATTGCTGGGTCATAGAGTAGTTCTATTTCTAATTTTTCGAGGAATCTCCATACTGTTGTTATTATTGTTTGTATTTCTGTGGTGTTGGTTGTGATCTCTCCTCTTTCATTTATGATTTAATTTATTTGGGTCCTCTCCTTTTTCTTGTTGATAAATCTGGCTAAGGGTTTATCAATTTTATTGATTCTTTCTAAGAACCAGCTTCTAGTTTTGTTGATCTGTTCTACTGTTTTTTGATTTCGACATCATTGATTTCTGCTCTAATCTTTATTATTTCTCTTCCTCTGCTGGTTTTAGGCTTTATTTACTGTTCTTTTTCCAGCTCCTTTAGGTGTAAGATTAGGTTGTGTATTGGAGACCTTTCTTTCTTCTTAAGATTGCTATATACTTCCCTCTTACGACTGCCTTTGCTGTATCCTAAAGGTTTGAGTGTCGTGTTTTCATTTTCATTGGCTTCCATGTACTTTTTAATTTCCTCTTTGACTTCTTGGTTAACCCATTCATTCTTTAGTAGGATGTTCTTTAGTCTTCAAGTATTTGTGGACTTTTCCATTTTTTTCTTGTGGTTGATTTCAGGTGTCCTAGCGTTTTGATCTGAAAATATGCATGGTATGATATTGATCTCTTTGTACTTATTGAGGGGCTGATTTGTGACCCAGTATGTGATCTACTCTGGAGAATGTTCCCATGGGCACTTGAGAAGAATGTGTATTCTGCTGCTTTAGGATGAAATGTTCCGAATATGTTTGTTAAGTCCATTGGATCCAATGTGTCATTCAAAGCCATTGTTTCCTTGTTGATTTTCTGCTGAGAGATCATTGCTGTAAGTGGGGTGTGAAAGTCCCCTACTATTATGGTATTATTATCAATGAGTTTTTTTTATGTTTGTGACTAATTGATTTATATATTTGGGTGGTGTCAAGTTGGGGGCATAAATATTTACCATAATTAAATCTTCTTGTTGGATAGACCCAAGGTATAGGTTTTTAATATCATGATTTAACTTCCACTTTCAAGAAGGATGTGATGGGTCATGGCAGAGTGCTGCTGCTGCTAACATTTAGACACAACTGGATAAAATGGCAAAGATAAACCACATTGTAAAGGCACTGGAGAATTATTGAGGCAGAGATAAGTAGATTAAAATCACAGAACGGAGAGAAAGAACATTTTAGAACTGTGCCCCCCACTGCCCTGTGGAAGATAGACAGTGATTTCGGTTGTGGGCTAGGACTGGGGCTTGGCCTAGGAAGAGGTCTGTTGGAGTACAGAGAAGCTAGTGGAGCTTTTAGTGGTGGCATGGGTCTAGAGTGATGTGATGGTTAATTTTCTATGTCAACTTGACTGGGCTAAGTGATATCCAGGTAGCTGGTAAAACATTATTCCTGGATGTCTGTGAGTGTCGTTCTAGAAGAGGCTAACATCTGAATTTTTTTTTTTTTTTTTAACGTTTACTCATTTTTGAGACAGAGAGAGCATGAACAGGGGAGGGTCAGAGAAAGAGGGAGACACAGAATCCGAAACAGGCTCCAGGCTCTGAGCTGTCAGCACAGAGCCCGACGCGGGGCTCGAACCCACGGACCGCGAGATCGTGACCTGAGCCAAAGTCAGATGCTTAACCGACTGAGCCACCCAGGCGCCCCTAGAAGAGGCTAACATTTGACTCAGTAGACTGAATAAAGAAGTTTACCCTCACCAGTGTGGGTGGGCAACATCCCAATTCATTGATGGCCTGAAGAGAACAGAAGACTAGTAAAGGGGTGAACTTACTCTTTCCTTAGCTAGGACATCCATCTCTGAATTACCCTACCATCTTTCCTGGGTCTCTCCAGCTTGCAGACAACAAGATTATGGGACTTCTTAGCCCCCATAATCTTGTGACCCAATTCTTATATAATTCTTATATAATATATTGATTGAGATTCTGTTTCTGGTTTTGGTTCTCCGAAGACTCTGGCTCATAAGCTGATAAGCTGAATAAGCCATCTAATAAGCTATCTGGCTGAATTTCGAGTTTGCTCTGGAAGTTAAGGCTGGCGCTTCTAAGAGGCAAAATGCAATCTCCAGCCTTACGAAACAAAGAAGAGCAGGGAGAACGGGACAGAAAACAAAGCACACAAGCAGTGAATTGATAATGATGATCTACAGCTCTTTTCACCTGGGTGCACTTAACTTGTTTTGCCTCAGCTGGAGGCTGAAATTCAGGCTTGACCTTGACAAGAGGCTGGTGCAGGAGGCAGAGAAACCAACAGAGATCTTGTCATTCACGCGGTGCCTGAGTGGCAAAACTGGAGACTTGCAGGCCTTCGACACATAGTCTATTTCTCCGTCACGATATTTGTCAAATTTTGAAGCTTGATGGGATGGGAATGAAAGAGGTGAGCCAAAAACCTGTGACACATCTGAATCTCTCATAAGCTTTCCGTATTGAGGAGACTGAGTAGGCTGTCAGATGAAAGTCTTGGGGGAGGTGCTCCCTAGGAACGGGGACTCTCAGGTAGACCGGGAGTTGCCAAAGCTATAATCAAGCCTAATCCTGTTCAATCTCTGATGCAATTTCATGATCAGTCCTTCACTGTATCTGTCTGACAGGGGAGGACAGCTCCTCTCTGATTAAAAAATATCATTTAGATTTTCCTGTGGTTCCTTTGTATACTGTCCAGTATATGACGAAAAAGTCCTGGATGCACGAAAATGGAAGGAACTTTGAAATGAAGGGGACAGTTCATGGAGATAAAGAGGTCACTCGGTTAAGAAAATATCACAGTTCTAATCGGGGTGCACAAAATGACATAATTTCAAAATATATGAAAGAAATTAGCAAAGCTAAAAGTTCAAATAGGCACACCTACCAGAAGGAAAGTGGGTGGGGGAATGGGTTATATGGGTGATGGGAATTTAGGAGGGCACTTGTGATGAACACCGGGTGTTGCATCCAAGTGTTGAATCACCACATCGTACACCTGAAAGTAATATTACACTGTATGTTAGCTAACTGGAATTTAAATTTTAAAAGAGGACAAACCTACAATAGAAGTAGGACACTTTAAAACCTATTTTAAATAGCTTGATGAAAGAGCAGACAAAAAAAAAATCAGTAAATTTACAAAATATCTGAATAAGACTATGAACAAACTTTACTTAATTGACATGAAAAGCATTGTAACTTACAGTGATAGGATTCTTATGTTGCTTAACAGTACTTGGGAAACTTACCAAAGTGACCATATGACAGACATAAACTTCAAGAAATTTCAAAACATTGAAGTTATTTAGAGCCTGTCTTCTGATGTTGGTGGAATTGAGCTAAAAATAAATAAAAAGATACTAGAATGTCTCCAGTAGCCTCAAAATTGAACAATATACTTATAAATAATCCATGGATCAAAGAGAAAATAAAAATGGAAATCAGAAAATATTTTTAACTGAATCATAATGAAAATAAGCCACATGGCTTATTGACCTGTGGGAGGAGCCACATGACCTGTGGGATGTAGCTAAAGCAGCATGACATGGAAATTTGTTTCTTTAGTGCATATGTTAAAAAAATAAGACAGGAAGACAATCATGATTTAAGCTTCCATTTCAAGAATAACCTAAATTAAGCCTAAGGAAAAGAATAATAAAGGTAAGAATAAAAACAATAGAAAACATATAATGAAAATCACTGCCAAAAATCGAATCTTTGAAAACTTTAATAAAATTGATAAAGCCATTGTAAGTCTACACAAGAAAATAGAGAAATATGGATTACCTCTAATCAGGAACAACAAAGGGGACGCCTCTTCAGACCCTACAGCGTTCAAAAAGATCATAAAAGAATATTATAAAGAACTTTTAGCCAATGAGTTTCACAGTTGGGACAGGATGTAGAAATTCATCAAAATATAAAATTTTGTAAAACAGAAGGAGAAACAGACTATCTGAATCGTTCGATATGTATTAAAGAAATTAAATCCGTAAAAACTTTCCTACAAAGAAAACTCTAAGTGCAGATGGCTTCCTTGGTTAATTCTTACACAAAAATCAAGGAGGAAGTAATAATCATCTTTCATAAATTCTAACAGAATGGAAAAAGGGAACACTGTTGATGCAGTCAGCATAATCTTAATACCAAATGCCAGAAGGGAATATTATAAACCTGTAAACCAACCTCTCCCATTGAACATAGTTGCAAAAATACCCCAAAATATGTTAGAAAACTGAATTCAATACTTAGAGGGTAATATATAACAATTAAGTGGGGTCAATTCAATGTTTGAAAATCAGTATAATCCAGTACATTAATAGAAAAAGGCAGAACAATCCTCAGATGATCTCAATAGATGTAGAAAACACCTTTGAAAAGCTTTATTCCCATTCATGATACAAAAAAGACTCTCGTTAAACTATGAATGGAAGGGAACATTTTTAAAAATCTTTATGTATTTTGAGAGAGAGAGAAAGCAAAAGGGGGGGAGGAGCAGAGAGAGACGGAGACAGAGAATCCCAAGTAGGTTCCACGCTGTCAGTGCAGAGCTCGAGACAGGGCTCGAACTCACCAAGTGTGAGACTAAACCCCAGAGACACTTAACCAGCTGAGGCACCCAGGCGCCTCTGGAAGGGAAATTTTTAAACTTCTAATAAAGAACAGCTACAATGTTGTTTTTGTACTTAATACTGAAAGATTGAAACTTGTACTCCTTGAGATTGGGAAAAAGATAGGGATGTTTGTTATAAGCACTATTATTTAGGGATGCCTGGTGGCTCAGTTGGTTCAGCTTCCAACCTTGGCTCAGGTCATGATCTCGCAGTCCTATGAGTTCGAGCCCCACGTCAGGCTCTGTGCTGACAGCTCAGAGCCTGGAGCCTGCTTTGGATTCTGTGTCTCCCTCTCTCTCTGCCCCTTCCCCACTCATGCGCTCTCTCTCTCTCTCTCAAAAATAAAGATTAAAATTTTTTTTAAATAAGCACTATTACTTAGTATTTTTTTTTTTATTTTTAAATGTTTATTTACTTTTGAGAGAGACAGACAGACGGAGTGTGAGCAGGCAAGAGGCAGAGAGAGGGAGACACAAAATCCACAGCAGGCTTCAGGCTCCGAGCTGTCAACACAGACCCCAATGCGGGGCTCGAACCCAAGAACCGTGAGATCATGACCTGAGTCAAAGTTGGACACTTAATTGACTGAGCCACCCAGGCGCCCCTATTATTTAGTATTTTAATAAAGACTGTAGCTAATGTAATAAGCCAAGAAAAAGAAATAAAAGTCATAAGCATTAGAAAGGAAGAAATAATACAGTAATTATTTGCAGATGACAAATTAGACATTAAAATAGTCATTAGTGGGTGCCTGGCTGACTCAGTAGAGCATGTAACTCTTGATATCATGGTTGTGAGTTTAAGTCCCATGGGGGGCATAAAGCTTAGTTTAAAAAAAATAAAAATAGGCATTTGTGATTATTTAATTAAATAGTCATTATTTGCAGATGACTGTGTAGTACATAGAAAATCCAAAATAATCTACCGACTAATTAGGATTAATAAATGGGGGGCCTGGGTGGCTCAATCGGTTGAGTGTCTGACCCTTGGTTTCAGCTCAGGTCTGTAGTTCATGAGCTCAAACCTCGTGTCAGGCTCTGTGCTGACAGTGTAGAGCCTGCTTCAGATTCTCTCTTCTCTCCCTCTCCCTCTCGCTCTCCCTCTCGCTCTCCCTCTCGCTCTCCCTCTTACTCTCGCTCTCCCTCTCTTTCTCTCTCTCCCCCCCGCCCTTCTGCCCTTCCCCTGCTTATGCTCTTTCTCAGAATAAATTAAATAAAAACTTGAAAAAGGATTAATAAATGAATTCAGCAGGGTTACTGCATTACATACAAAGGTCAACATACAAATCAATTATATATTTTCATATACCATAACAAAATTTTAAAACTGTACCATTTATAATAGCACTGAAAAATATTAATTACCTAGGATAAATTTAGCAGAGTGTGTAAAACCTTTGCACTGGAAGCTACAAAATATTATGGAGAAAACTTAAAGAAATCCTAGTAAATGAAGTGATACACAATGTTTATGGACTAGAAGACACAAAGTTGTAAAAACGTGAGTTCTCTTCAAATTAATAGATTCAATCCAGTCCCAAGCAATATCCCACTTAAGATCTTGGAAATTGACAAGCTGATTCTAAAATTTGTGTGGAAATGCAGAAGACCAAAAATAGCCAAAGTAATCTTGAAGAATAGCAAGAAAGTAGGAGGGCATATAATACCAGATATCAAGGCCTCTTATAAAGTCACAATAGTTGAGAGAGTGGGGTGCCTGGTGGCTCAGTCAGTAGAGTATCTGACTTCGGCTCAGGTCGTGATCTCGCAGTCTGTGAGTTTGAGCCCCGTGTTGGGCTCCGTGATGACAGCTCGGAGCCTGGAACCAGCTTCGGATTCTGTGTCTCCCCGTGTCTCTCTGCCTCTCCCCCACTCACACTCGGTCGCTTTCTCAAAAATATGTAAACATTGAAACAAAAATTTTTAAATAAAATTTAAAAAAAATTGAGAGTGCAGCATTGTTGCAAGGATAGACAGATTTACCAATGAAGAATATAGAGCATCCAGAAACAAACCCACGTGTCAAGGTCACCAGATTTATTACAAAGGGGCACTGCAATGCTATGAAGAAAAGGGATGATCTTTTCCACAAATGGTCCTATAATGAAAGTCTCAAGTTATAAAAATAGTAATGAATTATATTAAAATCAAGATCATGTGTTAACCAAAATCTACCTTTAAGAGTGTGAAAAAGCCAGGCGCGGAATGCAAAGAAGGTATTTACGATACATATTTGTGATGAAGGACTCAATTTAGATGATATCGAGAATCTTTTGCAAATCAACAAGAAAGTCACTCAATTAATAAATGGGGGGAAAAACGGGAGAAAGACTTGAACACATCTTCCAAAAGAAGAAATTCAGATGTCCAGTGAACATACGAGTAGATAGTTAACTTCCTTATCAGAGAAATCCAAATTCATACCACAATAAGATACCATTAGCAGAATGGCTAAGGTGAAAAGAGATGGAAAATGAAAAGTATCGATTAATATGTGGAGCACCCAGAACTGCTGCTGGGAATGTAAGTTAGTGCAACCACTTTGGAAAACTGGTTCTGAACCAGTTCAGATCCTATTCTACCTAGTTATTTCAGTCTCAGGGATAAACCGAGATGAAATCACCCAAGACATGCTCTAAGGTCCACAGGAGCATTCTTTGAGTAGCCCTCAACCTGGAAGCTATCTCCTTGCCTACTGGCAGTAAAATGGATAAATCAGTTGTGTTACATTCACATGATGGAATATTACTCCGCAACAAGAATGAGCGTTCTGCAACTGCCACTATTGTGGCTGATTCTCGCAATGATTATTTGAGTGAAGGAAGCCAGATATAAAAGCATTTATACAGTCTAATTCCATTTATATAAAGTACCAAAGTAGGCAAAATCGTCATTAGAAGGTTGTAACCGTTGGGGTGGGGGTGGATGTGACCAGCAGGAGACATGAGAAAGGCTTCTGGGATTTAAAAAAAAAATTTTTTTAACGTTTATTTATTTTTGAGACAGAGACAGAACATGAGTGGGGGGAGGGTCAGAGAGAGAGGGAGACACAGAATCTGAAACAGGCTCCAGGCTCTGAGCTGTCAGCACAGAGCCTGACGCGGGGCTCGAACTCACAAACCGCGAGATCACGACCTGAGCCGAAGTCGGACGCTTAACCGACTGAACCACCCAGGCGCCCCAAGGCTTCTGGGATTTTGATAATGTTTTGTTTCTTCATCTGGATGCTGATCATATGTTGTTCGTGGGAGTTCATTGAGCTGTATGCTCAATGTGCACTTTTCCTGTGTTGTATATTATCCTTCAATAAGAGAGGTTTAAAAATGCAATGATCTTTGTGTTTTAAATTATCTTAGTTCTTGAGTGTGTCTTCTCATTGGCTCAGAGTTACCCCCAGAGAGCTTCCAAGACTACTCTCACTCATAGTCTAGCATTTGGCTGCCTGTCTTTGCTTTTCAGTTGAGACTGGGGGCCAGCCAGAACTGGGAGTTCAATTCAAGAACTTAGTTAACCCAAGTGGGGAGGACAGGAAGGGTTAGAGGAGGAGGAGGAAGGAGGGAGAAGGGGAGGGTGAATACACGGTGAGTGTAGGGATGAAAGAAAACTTGTCCACTTGTGGGTGTAAACGAAAGGGACCCCTGTTATCAGGAGGTCCCGAGGATTGGTATTGGTGCAAGCATTTCTCTTTCATTGGAATTTATTCTTAAAAACTTAAACTTCGTGAATGGTTACTTCTAGAGATTAAAATAAGGTGCGAATTGTAAATTTCTTCACTTATTTACAAACGAATAAGGCTTGTAAATAAGTGGTAGTTTGAGTATAGTAACAGCTGACGTCTTGTATCTCTTCTGTTTTTTCTTTCCTTAGACACCAATAGTCAAAAATCATAATTTGCTTAGTAAATTCTTTTCATTTCTAAATACCTCTATCCAGGTTGAGTGAATACGGATTATTGAGAATATGATTAATGAATTTTTCCCATAAGAAGTGTTTTTATAAGTTTTTTTTTTTCAGGTGGTATGTTATTTTGTTATGATATTTCAACGTACCAGAGTAAAGAAGGCAAACCATTGAATCGACTGATGGCCAGTAGAGGGCGAAGTTTCAAGCAGACCTCGCTTGCTCTTGTGCATGAGGTAGGTGCCTTGCCTTGCCTGTAATTTAATGTGTGTTTGGAAATAATTTTTCTCTTTATCATGATTAACGTAAGTTGCTTTTAAAGGCAACCGACGGGGTGGCTCAGTCGGTTAAGCGTCCAACTTAGGCTCAGGTCATGATCTCACGGCTTGTGGGTTCTAGCCCCACATGGGGCTCTGTGCTGACAGCTCGGAGCCTGGAGCCTGCTTTGGATTCTGTGTCTCCCTCTCTCTCTCTGCTCCTCCTCCATTCATGCTTTCTCTCTCTCTCTCTCTCTCTCTCTCTCTCTCTCTCTCCCTCCCTCAAAAATAAATAATAAAACATTAAAAAAAATTTTTAAGGCAATCACAATAGTTGACCCGATTCACTACTAAAATATTTGGATGTGTTTCTGAAAGAAACTAGCACGCTTCTCCCATTGCCCAGCCTTGTTATTAGGGAGTGGTACGTACAAATTTGGTTTATTTCATTGTTGTTAAACTCTTATTGTTCAGAATAAATGCTATAATAAGTTTATTGTTTAAAGAAATAATCTTGCCTATTTCTTAATTTGAATCCTTTGCAAGTATGTAGGGCACCAGTGTTTATGTATGGTGTGAATTTTGGGAATGAACAGTAAATAAAAGTGTTTAAGGGGGGAGAAAAACCCTTTGGTTTTAGTGTTTATTCTATTTTTTTTAGGCTACCCTTTTATTTTTTAATTAAATTAAATTTAATTTTAAAGTTTATTTATTTCAAGAGAGAGAGAAAGAGTGTGAGCCAGAGAGGGGCAGAGAGACAGAGAGAGAGCATCCCAAGCAGGCCTCACACTGTCAGCACGGAACCTGATGCAGGGCTCAGTCTCACAAACTGTGAGATCGTGGCCTGAGCTGAAATCAAGAGTTGGACGTTTAATAGATCGAGCCAACCCGGCGCCCCTAGGCTACCCTTTTAGAATAAAGTTATGTGATGCCATGAGACGATTTATATAAAGTCTGATCATTGCAGATCATAACAACACCAGAGGGAAGAGGGAGGCTAGACAGCACATGGGCAGTGTGTATTTTGGTGTTATCTTTGCACGTTTTATGACAGTTACTTGTTCGGGTGTGTATAAATTAAAATATATAAATGAATAACAAAATATAGCAAAGAAGCTTATTTTATATAATTAAGACATGATAGGTTAACATCAGTCAGTTATAAATGAAGATAAAAATTGTGAAGCATGTAATAGTTTGATGTCAAATTAATTAGAGCTCCTACTGGATGTTTGTACTAAATCTCATTTTGGTGCATAATTTATATATCTTGGCATCACAGAGTTTCGTCGGATTATATTCTGCATCCTACCAGTTTAGCATAGCCAGTTTTTAGAGACCTATATTTATCCTATGCAACCGTGTTCTTTCATATATTCAATTAGAGTTGAAATTATGTAAATACTTGGTTCAAAGCCTTTTTAGTCTAATTCAGTGTCTTCACTTAACTGAGGAGGGAATGAAGATCCGGGAAGAAAAGAGGTTTAATTTCATGAAAGAGAGAATGTAGGTGATTTCTAGATTTGTTTTCCCTGACATCTTATTACTTGGCTATGGAGAAGGTAGAGTTTGGTACCTTTTTGTATTTTTACGCTGTGCACCTAGGAGATTGAAGGATAACCACAGTGTTAAGTATTAATGGAAAGCTGACTTTAAAAGTCACCATCAGAACAGAAACAATAAAAATTGTTAACACAGGGAGTAACAGAAGGCAATCTAGTAAATTCAGCAAATGGCATCAGAATTTATGG